CACCCGATAGATTCAGATTCAGCAAAGTAGCTACCTGTCAACGATATAGTTACCGTACAATTCGATCCTTTCATCATACTGTATCTCGACGAGACGAAGGCATAGAAATTGTGTCAACCTCCGGTTACTCTCGATATTATGTATTCAGTTTCTGGACCAATGACCTGTATTATAATCCAGATAGAGCAACAATTCAATCCCACTGTGGCCACAATTTTAGTGTCATTGCCATATACTGAATTGTGTTGTGAGATAACTTCTCCCGTACCCGGGAGTGATGAATCCTCTGTCAATCCACCATAGTCTTGATACACTCCTTGATGCAGCCAATCACTACCGTATTGACAGCTCTAAAAAGAACTGCATTAAGCTAGTGTCAAACTACACCAATCGGTGCACAAGGCGTTCCGATGATCTCAAGTCTAAGGATCACATGTACCACCATTCGTTAGAGGATTTGTTCCATAGACACTAGGGTTACCATCCATATGGAATCCTCTGGTGGGTCAGTCCAGTGAACTTGCTGCGGTATATTCGCCTACAACAAACACCCATGTGTTGCACCAGGTTGTCACCAAACAACCTTGACAAGTGAGATCAGTCACTGCCTTTCGACAGGGTCGTTCAACACTATGATAGTCTTACCGTATTATCTGTGCCCTTACTTCAGAATAATACTGGGGCTACGGACGTTTCTAGAATGGCCACCATATGTGCTCATAGGGTTCTCACTATCAAGATTTGAAACACTTGATACCCTCGTCACGGTTCTACCATTCTAAAGACATATATCAATATATATTGCACTAATAATGATTTACGTGATATAGAATAAAATGCCTTTTATTGATTAATGAACATTATTACAAAGAGTCAATTCTACAATAATTGATTGGCTCTAGGGCATCTACTCTAACAATCTCCTACTTGCACTATAGCCAATCATTCATGTATTTAATACGAAATGATCTCAAGTGCCTTTCATGCTTCTACTACAACAGAGGCTTTGTCAGTGGATCTGCAAGATTGTCGTCAGTATGCACTTTACTAATCTGCACCTCTTTCCTCTCAACTGTTAGTGAACGACCCATTTACGCAGCGGAAAAACAAAAACATAAATGACATGGATCGTTCCTTAGAACCAAGATTTGGGTATAATATCACGGTTTATACAATATATAAATTAAATCTGCGGAAAATCAGATTCAAGGTTCAATAATCTTACGCACGTTTGGAGGCTCCACCAACTTTGTCTTTGAACATTTTTGCTACCGACCCAAGTGTAAGATCGAACTCACGTAGTCCACACGAAGACAATCACAAAGAACTAAGGAGGGATTTGCTAGATCCTCCTTAGCTTTAAGAAACAAGAAGAAAATCAAAAGATTTTGATTTCAAAGCAAAATAGCAATGTGGCGTGGGAGAGAGTGTTTTGGGGTTGTGTGTTTTCTTTCTCAATCAAAGAATGAATCAATTAATTAAAAACACACACATCTTTTTCTTTTATAGTGTTATTTTACTTACCCTATTCCCATATGGAATGGGCTTGGGCTCCAACCCAAACACCCCATGTTTCCAAACACCCCCTAATTAGATATTTATTTTAATTCATCATTATTTTCAATTAGAACCAATTAATATATATTTAATATATATATTAACATTTAACAATAATGATAATTTATTTAAATATATGCGAACACATATTTAAACGTAATTTCACTTATTTAATTTTTATAATAAATTAAATAAAGGCTACGACGTCAGCAAATTTAATTGCACTGTGAAATTACCAAAATATCATTTCGCCCAAAAAGACGAAAACGCCCTTCTTTCTTCCTGGCTCTTAAATTATCTTCTATGTGTGTGACCCATAGGCTCCTTATCATACCGACAGTGTATAGTATTGCGATTAATACCAATTAATCGTCTCACTAATACACAGACCAAGATTGGCCCTTAGCAAGGCATCATGGCCACCCAATAGATTCGGATTCAGCAAAGTAGCTACCTTTCAACGATATGGTTACTGTACAATTCGATCCTTTCATCATACTGTATCTCTCCGAGACGAAGGCATAGAAATAGTGTCAACCTTCGGTTACTCTCGATATTATGTATTCGGTTTCTAGACCAATGACCTGTATTATAAATTGGATAGAGCAACAACTCAATTTCACTGTGGCCACAGTTTTAGTGTCCTTGCCATATACTGAATTGCGCTGTGAGATAACTTCTCCCATACCCGGGAGTGATGAATCCTCTGTCAATCCACCATAGTCTTGATACACTCCTTGATGCAGCCAATCACTACCGTATTGACAGCTCTGAATAGAATTGCATTAGGCTAGTGTCAAACTACACCAATCGGTGCACAAGGCGCTCCAGTGATCTCAAGTCTAAGGATCACATGCATCACCAATCGTTAGAGGATTTGTTCCATAGACACTGGGATTACCATCCATATGGAATCCTCTGGTGGGTCAGTCCAGTAAACTTGCTGCGGTATATCCGCCTACAGCAAGCATCCATATGTTGCACCAGGTTATCACCAAACAACCTTGACAAGTGAGATCAGTCACTGCCTTTCGACAGGGTCATTCAATACTATGATAGCCTTACCGTATTATCTGTGCCCTTACTTCAGAATAATACTAGGGCTACGGACATTTCTAGAATGACCACCATATGTGCTCATAGACTATCAAGATTTGAAACACTTGATACCCTCGTCACGGTTCTACCATTCTAAGGACATATATCAATACATATTACAATAATAATGATTTACGCGATATAGAATAAAATGCCTTTTATTGATTAATGAACATTATTTCAAAGAGTCAATTCTACAATAATTGATTAGCTCTAGGGCATCTACTCGAACAATCTCCCACTTGCACTATAGCCAATCATTCATGTATTTAATACCAGATGATCTCAAGTGCCTTTCATGCTTCTGTTGTGACAGAGGCTTTGTTAGTGGATCTGCGAGATTGTCATCAGTATGCACTTTACTAATCTACATGTCTTTCCACTCAACTATCTCTCTGATGAGATGGAATCGTTTGAGTATGTGCCTCCTCTCATGATAAAACTTTCTGATTAACGATGTCAGTCGAAGGGAGTTCTGTGCCTCCTCTCATGTTGCAAGTCGTCGCTAACAGATGATTGACAGGGCCCCACGATGGCCAGATGATTGTTTGTGAGGTTGAGGCTATTGACAATCCGCTGAATCTGCACACAAAGCAAACTAGTGTGAAGCTTACGTAAACACCGGTGTGGTGTCTACCGTAGACACTCCGACGCTCAAGTCAGTAAGGTTGAATGAGGCAATTTAGTAAGGGCTAAAGGAAGGAAGGGTTACCAGAAGTTTAGTCGGAGACTAAAACTACGGCAAAAGTTTATAACTCTTAGGAGTAAGAACTTAGGCGCAAGTAAATGGTACTGAGATTTAATGAATTATGAGAGGGCAGACCTCTGTTTATATAGTGAACCCAAGGGGTTGAAATCCCACTAGGACATTGAGACCTATTTTGGGAGATAATCCTTATCAGGAAAGAAAGATGTTTTCTTGTCTTTATCATATTAGTTTTACTAGTTTGAGTAAAATTCAAGATCTTAGCAGAAGAGGAAATAGAATGGGTTTTTGATTTCCTATTTATGGATTGTTGTAGGCTAATGGGTTGAAACCCAGTTTAGCTTAATTTGTAGGATAGACCAACTCATAGAATGCACAGTTCACAAGGTGACTGGACAGTTTACAAGGTGACTTTAAGCGTAGGCCTAACCGGAATTGGGTTAAGACCTTAGGCCGTGACATGTTTATTTTGTTATTGGGCCTCGTCAAACCCAAGACAATTTTTTGTCCAGACAATGTACCATCTTGTAAAAAGGGGATTAAAGCATTAGTACATAAGAAATATCTTGTGGTCTCCCTTTATCAAAATGGAAGGCATACATGTCTGATTCTTAGTAGATTGGCTCCAAGAGGAATATGAGTTCCATCACCCTCTAAGAGACACGTGAAGAAATCATAATGGTGCTATTGCAAGAGAGCACTAACCCTAATCCTATATAAGGTACATGATAAATCATTTGAAGGTTAATTCATATTTTTACCCTTAGAACAATTTTCACATACCCATATACTCTATATCATCTTTTTTTTCATCTCTACAAAGTTTATCACCACTATTAGCTCCTTAGAATGCTTTTATTGATCCCTTCGTTGACTTGAGTGTTAAAGAGCCTATGTAGACGATCCCCCTGCCGACTTAAGCCACTAACCTCATTTTCCTTCCCTTGTCGAGTTCCCGGGAGCATATGAGTAGATAACCACCACTAGGACACAATTTCACCTCCACCAGACCACCATTAATCAACCACCTTTCGCCTATACTTACCGGTCAATATTTAGAGGCATTTTTGGGCGTTTACGATATCAAACAAGGTTTTGAAAACCAGACCGAGCCTTGATCCGATCAAGGGCTTGATTCCCTGGTTGACCACTCAACTGATCAGATCGGTGACGTTAACAACAAAAATATTTAATTAGTCCCTACAATTTAATATATTACAAAAATACCCTTAAAATTTTATTAATTAGTCCCTAAAATTTTAATATATTGCAAAAATACCATAAAACTGTATTAGTCCCTAAAATTTTAAGATATCGCAAAAATGCCCCAAAAAATTATAATTAGTCTGTAAAGTTTTGAAATATTAAAACACCCTTAAAAAATTACAAGTAGTCCTTATAGATTTGAAATCTAGCAAAAACCCCCTTGAAACCTGAATTGGACTAGAAAGGCTGTCGGTTCTCGGTCCGATCGGTTAGACCAGTTGGTCTGATCCGGGTTTCAGAACATTAGTTAAGTTATACTAAATTTTCCCTAGTTCATTTGATAAAAAAAAAACAATATTTTAGTTTAAATATAAGTTTAGTGTTTCTATTTCTTTTATGTTACTTAGCGAAGTTAGCCTAGTAAACCCAAACCCAAATTCGTGTTAATAAAAATTCGATCCGAAATTTTCGTACGCCAAAAGTAAACTACCTTTGTAACGGGTGCTCCTTCTGGGTGTTGCTTTCTACTATTTACTCTTTCTTTCTCTCCACTCCTCTGGTCCAATCATGATTTCCAACAGGTAATTTGCTTAGTTTTTCCAATTATTTTTTAATCAGCATTAATTACTTTCTATTTTACACTTCATTATTTTAATTGGTCTTCACTTTTCCTTCGTTAATCGTCATAAGTGTTTTTTAGATGTTTTCCTTCGTTAATCGTCATAAGTGTTTTTTAGATGTTTGACCTGGGTGAAAATTGATCAACGTTAGGGTCTGATAATCTAAGATTTTGAAGAAGATGAATCAAGAAGCATATACGATAGAAGTAACAGGGCTGTCACCCAGGGCTACAGAGAAAGACTTGTACGAATTTTTCTCTTTTTCTGGTGCAGTCGGTCATGTTGAAATCGTCAGGTACCGTCTTTCAACGACATTATCAATCCTTTTACGTTCCTAGTTCTGTATTTTTATTTTATCAAATTTTTTTCGAGATCGATATCGTGATCTTTTGCAATTTCCGAGTTTATATGTTTCATTTATGCAATTGTGAAACTAATATGTGATTGGCTTGTTGATTGAGATATTCCCATATGTAGTTATCTAATGTGCTAGACATAAGCGTTCTTTAAGATTTAATTAGACTTTTAAACCATACAATTAAATGCTAGACTATCATGTCTTGTATAGTCTGACATGATAGTCTAGCATAGTCTAGGGTTATATATAGGAATATATCATTTGTTTTTTCATCAAAGATATAATTGGCAAGTCTTTGGATTTTACTACTAGATTTTTTCTTTCAATAAAACCTACACATTTTGGGAAATTGTGATTATTGAGTTGGCTATGTATGTCCAGACCGCTTGTTAATCATGTTGTCTATTCTACTAATGATATATATGTGGGCTTTAAAATGGGTTTTTGTTTAATATTTTTATATTTTTTATAGCTTGCTTGCTTTTGAATGTGAATAGAAGTGTTTGTTTCTTAATTGTTTAATTTATGGGACTCCTATATTACAGTAGGAAGTTTGGTGTATGAAATCTGTGGTAAGGTTTAATATTTTGATAATTGCTTGTCCATCGGTTCAAGCACTGTAATGCATAATGTCATTTGATCAAGTTCTTGAAGGGAGTTTTGGTTCTTCTGATGTGTGAGTGTGGCCATTGCCAAGTTCATTTTATTTTAATAATTGGTAGCAGAGCATGTTAAATAGTTTTTTTTATTAATAGTTAATGTTTGTGTTGTACATAGTCTTCTGGCATATGTATCATTTTTTGTAGTCCATTGTTTCTGATATGGGATTATATTGTTTGGGACAAACAGATCTGGTGATTTTGCGTGTTCTGCGTATGTTACGTTCAAAGATGCTTACTCTCAAGAAACAGCAGTCTTACTCAGTGTGAGTATTTATTAAACTCTTTGCCGGGGAAGCAAGCTTATTGAATAGAAATATTATTAAATTGCTTGTTAGCGTGTTATATTGGTTGCTTTACTTCATGCCAATTCAGAGATTGAATTGTGATGAACTGACTTGAAAAGCCAATATTTTGTGAGTTTTGTTAATTTTGCAATAAGTTTAATATCCACGAGCTAATTATAGCCTAGCACAGTCGATCTGTAATTGTAACCAGAAATTCCTCTGTAGAGATGATTCTAGCAATATCAATTTGTTGATTACTTTGGTACATTTCATAAATGACCTCTCTCTTGTTTTTTCTGTGACGTAACTGTTACTGCGGTATTTATTCTTGTAAATGACACTAAGTTCTCCTGTCAACCAGAAAAAATATATGATGCTTAGTTCCATCACCTTTTGAAAACTTTAATTTGAAATTTTGGCAACTTTAATCTGAAATTTTGGCATAGCATTATGGAGTTCTGTCCATGCCTTTCTTATCAAGTGTACAACATTTTTCCCTCACTGAAAAATGTGGCTCTTATTGACAATCTTAGTGTAATAAGTACTTGAGTACTAGCATATGATCTCTTTATGTTCAGGACTAGCATATCTAAATGAACTTGAGTTTTCTGATTGCACTTCTTCCATGATTGATTGTCTAATAACTAGTTTGTGCTTTCTTTCTTCTCAATCTTTTCCTCTGTAGGGTGCCACTATTTTGGATCAACGTGTATGTATAACACGCTGGGGTCAGTACGAAGATGAGTTTGATTTTTGGAACAGGCCATCTCGTGAGTTGGAGGATGAAACAGAATCAACTGTATGCATGATTTGTTTTGTCCTTTGTCTTTCAGTTGTGATCATATTATGATCCTTTATAAAAATTAGATTTATTATTTTTAATCAGCTTCCTAATAACCGTTCTGATTATTTTATTAGCAGCCCCCTCAGAGAAGTCCATTTGTTTCTGATGCTGGAGAAGCACTTGCAATGGCTCAGGAAGTTGTGAAGACCATGCTGGCGAAGGGATATGTTCTGGGGAAAGATACTCTAAGCCAGGCCAAAGATTTTGATGAGTCTCATCAAGTTTCAGCAACTGCTGCTGCTAAAGTTTCTGAGCTGAATCAGAAAATCGGTCTCTCTGATAAGATTGGTGCTGGTGTGGAAGCCGTTAAATCTGTGGATGGAAAGTATCACATCTCAGAGACCACCAGATCAGCAGTCTCAGCCACTGGAAGAGCTGCGGCAGCTGCTGCAACCACTGTGGTCAATAGTAGCTACTTCTCTAATGGAGCACTGTGGGTGTCAGATGCTCTAAATCGAGCAGCTAAAGCCGCAGCTGACTTGGGTAGTCGTAATGTGAACCAATGAGACATAGCAAACATGGATACTGGCTTTCATTGTGTATATCAATACCTCTTGGAAACTACGGCTAGTTGATAGTTTTATACTTTGTAGAGGTCATAAAAGTTTCGTATAAACTTGTTACTCGTCAATCTGTGTTGATTATATTCTCACGGAGAGCCATTATAGGTTCATTATATGTTGTTTTTTTAGGGTAAGTTTTGTGTATATATGCCTTTGAAATTCTGTCTCCTGCCCTCTTTCCCAATATCCACGAATTTGAATTTGCTTCTGTTAAAACTGATCATTTTATATTTTGAATTTGTCTCTAATATTCTATGTCAGTGTCCAAAACAATTTGGAATGTTAATCTTTAGATCCAATCAATCATCCCTTTAACATTATAAGTTTCTGTAGTTGTTTTGAAGGCTGTGATTGTTTCACTCCTTTCTTTAAAACCAATTTAACATTCCTTGGATCTTGCTTAGAATTGCCAAGCTAGGAAGAAAAGTCATCGTACAAGAATTTCCAAGTAGCAAAAGAGAGTCTATTCTTTCAGCTGAAGAAAGAAAATTATTAGCTTTATGGTCAATCTGATCATCCTCAACCAATTCTAAACAATTGATATTATGGTCACTCTTTCCCGTTTGGTTGATCCCGTGTCGGCCGGTGTCCTTGTCAAAACTCAATTTCCCATTCCACAGACTTTTTATTTCTTGCCTATNTGTTGATTACTTTGGTACATTTCATAAATGACCTCTCTCTTGTTTTTTCTGTGACGTAACTGTTACTGCGGTATTTATTCTTGTAAATGACACTAAGTTCTCCTGTCAACCAGAAAAAATATATGATGCTTAGTTCCATCACCTTTTGAAAACTTTAATTTGAAATTTTGGCAACTTTAATCTGAAATTTTGGCATAGCATTATGGAGTTCTGTCCATGCCTTTCTTATCAAGTGTACAACATTTTTCCCTCACTGAAAAATGTGGCTCTCATTGACAATCTTAGTGTAATAAGTACTTGAGTACTAGCATATGATCTCTTTATGCTCAGGACTAGCATATCTAAATGAACTTGAGTTTTCTGATTTCACTTCTTCCATGATTGATTGTCTAATAACTAGTTTGTGCTTTCTTTCTTCTCAATCTTTTCCTCTGTAGGGTGCCACTATTTTGGATCAACGTGTATGTATAACACGCTGGGGTCAGTACGAAGATGAGTTTGATTTTTGGAACAGGCCATCTCGTGAGTTGGAGGATGAAACAGAATCAACTGTATGCATGATTTGTTTTGTCCTTTGTCTTTCAGTTGTGATCATATTATGATCCTTTATAAAAATTAGATTTATTATTTTTAATCAGCTTCCTAATAACCGTTCTGATTATTTTATTAGCAGCCCCCTCAGAGAAGTCCATTTGTTTCTGATGCTGGAGAAGCACTTGCAATGGCTCAGGAAGTTGTGAAGACCATGCTGGCGAAGGGATATGTTCTGGGGAAAGATACTCTAAGCCAGGCCAAAGATTTTGATGAGTCTCATCAAGTTTCAGCAACTGCTGCTGCTAAAGTTTCTGAGCTGAATCAGAAAATCGGTCTCTCTGATAAGATTGGTGCTGGTGTGGAAGCCGTTAAATCTGTGGATGGAAAGTATCACATCTCAGAGACCACCAGATCAGCAGTCTCAGCCACTGGAAGAGCTGCGGCAGCTGCTGCAACCACTGTGGTCAATAGTAGCTACTTCTCTAATGGAGCACTGTGGGTGTCAGATGCTCTAAATCGAGCAGCTAAAGCCACAGCTGACTTGGGTAGTCGTAATGTGAACCAATGAGACATAGCAAACATGGATACTGGCTTTCATTGTGTATATCAATACCTCTTGGAAACTACGGCTAGTTGATAGTTTTATACTTTGTAGAGGTCATAAAAGTTTCGTATAAACTTGTTACTCGTCAATCTGTGTTGATTATATTCTCACGGAGAGCCATTATAGGTTCATTATATGTTGTTTTTTTAGGGTAAGTTTTGTGTATATATGCCTTTGAAATTCTGTCTCCTGCCCTCTTTCCCAATATCCACGAATTTGAATTTGCTTCTGTTATAACTGATCAATTTATATTTTGAATTAGTCTCTAATATTCTATGTCAGTGTCCAAAACAATTTGGAATGTTAATCTTTAGATCCAATCAATCATCCTTTTAACATTATAAGTTTCTGTAGTTGTTTTGAAGGCTGTGATTGTTTCACTCCTTTCTTTAAAACCAATTTAACATTCCTTGGATCTTACTTAGAATTGCCAAGCTAGGAAGAAAAGTCATCGTACACGAATTTCCAAGTAGCAAAAGAGAGTCTATTCTTTCAGCTGAAGAAAGAAAATTATTAGCTTTATGGTCAATCTGATCATCCTCAACCAATTCTAAACAATTGATATTATGGTTACTCTTTCCCGTTCGGTTGATCCCGTGTCGGTCGGTGTCCTTGTCAAAACTCAATTTCCCATTCCACAGACTTTTTATTTCTTGCCTATCAACGGTTCTGATTCAGTTTCTTTTTGGCAACCCACTGTACGTCCCTGATTCAATATCTTTGAGTCACTTTACGTCGATGTTACTTCATGTCTGCTATGTAAAAATTTTAAATTTTAAATCAAATTAAGTTATGATCATCGTTGGACCCACGATGGTCCAGATGTAAGGCAATGGTTCACTACAGCATGACACATAATGCAGTTGCAACGTATTACAACTGACTAAAATCCCGAGCCCTCTCATCAGTTTACTGCTCACCCGCCCAAATTTGATGTCGTTCATCTAATTTATTCTCTAATTCTCTTACCCTACAAAGTACAAAATACAATCAAATCTGTAATCAATAATAACATTTTAATTTTTATGCAATTAACTTTAATGTAAAACAACTGAGTTGGCGAGACAGAACGAGTAATGGCGGATCCGGTGTCGTTCAAGGTTCCATACAGGAACCTTAAGAAGGAGGCAGAAGTGGAGATGGTTGGAGCCGATGAGCTTCATCTCCGTCCGATCGACTTGAATTCTAATCCATCTTCTCATGTAACGATTTCAAACGGAAACTCCAATTTTGATGTCAGATCCAAACAGTGTAGCTTGTTTACTCTTATTCTGAGTTGTACGGTTGCCGCCGGTGTTCAGTTCGGTTGGGCCTTGCAGCTTTCTTTATTAACCCCTTACATTCAGGTCTTCTCTCACTCTTTTTGGATCTGCCGCTGTATTGCTTTTGTTTTTTTGTTGGTCTATTTAGATTCTTCTCGATTTCGTCAAATTTATATTGATTGTTATTACAGATTTTATGCTGTATCGACCAATTGAATTAATTTCATTGCCTTGCAATGTACCAAATGATTAATGACTATTAGTCATGAAAGACGAAAGCTTACCTTGATGTATGTTGCTTTTACGTTTAGATTGTGTGGAATGGGAGTTTTTCTAGTTTAGAAAGTTAGAAATTGGCATCTCAAATTTCGAAACTTGAATTTCATGCTGCTGAAGGCAACTTTTCTGAAATTGCTGCTGATGAAAGAATTTCCGCATGAGATACTATTGCTGGAATATGAATTACTCTAACATAAGTGGCCGCCTTTATGATGCTAAAGATGCTGAAAATTTGGATTTCATGGTAATGGAGAAAAAATGCCCAAAAAGCTTGGAAGAAAATATCCAATATAATTCCATTCTTCGAGAATAAACCGTGAGGACATGAGAGAAGCTTTTTCTGAAATTCTTATTAATGTGACATTCAATATTGAACAATAAATGGCAACTAGAGGGTGAACATGGCTGGTCACTTTTATTATCATTTGACATAAGTGCTTGTTTGTTCTTACATACGTAGTCTTGTTCCCTAGTATGACATAAAACCGTTTGCTGTTGTCCTTCTCTTATTTGACTCCTTTTTAACCTTTTGTTTCCAGTAGTAAAGGTATCATTATGAAAAAAAGGGTGAAGGAGTGTAGACATTTGCTTGTTTTTATTACTTTTAATGAGTGTAAAGATTGTCTAGTGGGCAAGGATAAAGGGAATGATGATTATGAAAGTTTAGTGAATCTAAATTGATACATTATTTATCTTCATTTTTTGCTGTTTTAATCTAGCTTATCTGAATCAGTTTTGATGCTCTATTTAGATTATGTTTTGGTGTGTACAGCTTTCTTCTTGCTTAACTATTCTCCTTATTGCTGATTGATACAGACACTTGGGATAGAGCACGCCTTTTCTTCATTCATTTGGCTCTGTGGCCCGATTACAGGCCTTGTGGTAGGTCATGGCTATCATTTTAACTTCATTCCATTTAATCCTTATATTCTTCCCCCAATCGTTTCACTATGTATCCAGACTATTTATGGAGATGAGTTTACTGATTACAGTTTGCTACTGGATGCCTTGTGCATTAACGCCTATCATCTAGTTTGTAACACATTATATTGGAATTTCAGTTGGGCACGAACATGATATGATCTTTTATACCAGTTTGAATGAATAAAATTCTCTCTCACTGCTACCGGTTCATGTCTGAACTGAATTTATGACCTTTCAAGTTGGTAGTGGCTGAGCTACATGTATCTCAGGCTGCCCACCACCACAACCACCAAATGTTGGGGGTGCTTCTTCCACATATCCATAGTTGTGGCTGATTTTGCCCTTGGTTGTTTTGTACATTACTGTTCTTTTGGCTCCTATTTGTCCTTTGTCTCCAATGCTCCTTCTTCTGATTAAGTTAATTAAGTTATAAAATTGAAATGTTATCGTTTGTATCTTACCTGGGGAATTGTAGTTCTTAACAAAATGAATTTGGTTACTTGATAAAAACGGCACTTTTTAGTCTGGTGACCTTGTTGTTTAAGTTTTGGATCATGTCCAGTGTTATTGGTCCTGGTTGGAGCTGTCTCCTGCTGCCTTGCTTTTGTCTCTATTTTGACTTGCAAATGTGATGGTGCAGTATTCCTGTATATTGCTCTATTGAAAATAAACGAGAAAATTGTGCATGTCTCCTGCCAATTATATCGTTTGATTTAAATTTGGTTCTGTCTGAGTTATTTTCTTTTCCATATTTAGGTTCAACCTTGTGTTGGTATTTGGAGTGATAAATGCACTTCAAAGTATGGAAGGAGGCGGCCATTTATTCTTGCAGGATCTCTCATGATTTCAGTTGCTGTAAGCACTGATGAAATTCACATTTTTATTTTGTATATTAGATATGCTATCCTGTATTTTATATCAGCTAAACGAAGTCTTGGAATTTAGGTGATAATAATCGGGTTTTCTGCAGACATTGGTTATGTATTGGGTGATACAAAGGAGGATTGCAGGTTCTATTCTTATTTTGATTCCTTGTCATTTATTCCATGAATATTAATCTAAATTCAAAAGTGACTGGCTCATCCATGCAAATGCAGAGTATTCAAAGGAACTCGAACAAGAGCTGCCTTTGTATTTGTTATTGGGTTCTGGATGCTGGATCTTGCTAACAATACTGTGCAGGTAAACTTGTCTTCGTAGTTGCTCTTCCTTGTTATTCGTTTCTGCATGAAAATGAATTTAATTAGCTGCCATCTATATGCTGAACAACAATGGCACTTTTATTTCTTCTGTAGGGACCAGCTCGTGCGCTTTTGGCTGATCTATCAGGTGAATTTTTCTACTCATTATGTTAAAGTAGTAATGTTGTGGCTTCTAAATGTTTAGGATTTTATCTAGAAGATTTTGCTGTTACATACTTCTTTTGGAAAATCATGATGTGCTAGTTTGTTGTTGGAAATCATTATCATGCCTTAGGTCCTGATCAACGCAATTCAGCTAATGCTATATTCTGCTCATGGATGGCTGTTGGAAACATCTTAGGATTTTCTGCTGGTGCAAGTGGAGATTGGCACAGGTGAAACTTTTTGGAAACAATTTCTGGGTTAAGTAACATATCTGTGGACAAGCCAGCATGCATCTTCTTGGTGCTTAATTCTTTTTGCATTCATCATAGATGCTCAGTTCATTAATTTAAAAACTTGTTTCTCATTATTAATTTCTGAACCCCAAAGAAACGTTATGTTTGGTTGATTAATCTACTCAACAATTCTCTCTGAGCAGATGGTTTCCTTTCCTAACGAGTAGAGCTTGTTGTGCGGCTTGCGGAAATCTCAAAGCAGCATTTATTGTGGCAGTGGTGAGTAGTAGTATGTATAGAAGTTCTGTATTTTGCATGAGCCATTCAAGTTTTCTATGGTAAAATTCTTTACTGTCCATTTTCTTTCTGCATTTAATGTGCCTTTCATTAGCTTGTGATATGATTTTCATTATTTGACATGTAATGCTCTATTACAATCTATTTTCAAGACTGGTATGATTAAAGTAAAGTAGGTTTTGCTGGAAATCGTTTAAACTTAAATTTGAAGCCTTGATCGTTAGGTGTTTTGTTTAAAATTGACCATTGAGAAATTGTCAGCTTTTATACTGTCTTGTATTTTAGCTATTAAACTTCTTGGTGATTGTTCATAGTGATGAGACTATTGAGCAATTGTCAAGATTTATACAGTGTCTCAAATTTAGCTATTAAAACCGCCTGATGTGTAATTTTATATTGCTCAGACTGATGAGAGAATATGCTGATTCTTTTATTGACACAGTGGAATTGATATGTTGTAGATAAACATTCTTGGAGATAATTTGAATTCACAAATGATAAATTCCTGAATCTCTGAGAAATAATCATGAATGCATGAGACAATGTAGAACCAACGATGAAAATATTCTACAAGGAGCTTTTTTGAAATTGCTGTAGAAAGTCATGAATAACGTGCAGTAAAACAAACCTATTTATAGTAGACCATTCTAAATATGACTACAATAAGGCAAGGTATAAATATCTTGATAAAACATGAAAACAAATACGACCCAAATAAGTAAAAGTAAACTAAACTAAAATAGAGCTTACTAATCAAAATAGAAAGCCAACTTAAACAAGGAAAAATTATTGATATGATAGAAACTGTCCTACACAATTTAGTGTCTCAGGTAAGTAGTATAGGACAATAAGGTGCTTGGTCTTATATTCATTCTGTTCATAATATCATGTGGTTCATGCATTATATATGCTGATGTCTATTGATCAGGCTCTGGTTGATGAAAAAATAAACTTTGTATATATACAGCATGTTTCTGATTTTTTCAGACATCTTTTTATTTCTTTTGAGTTGGTTTTATCTTCATTTTTCTGTTGAATGAGAAATCCCACTTATTGCTGTTATTGTAATGGGATATGCTTGTATCATCTATGCACAGATATGATAGTATTTTCAAGTATGTCTTGGTGTGAGTGCGTATTGCTTTCATTTGCATTTTGTGTTATTTTCAATCAGTCTAAAATTTGCTGTGCTTGTCTGCAGGTCTTCCTGACTCTATGTACTGTTGTGACTATATATTTTGCTGATGAGGTTCCACTTACTGTAAATCAGCCCAATCATTTATCAGATTCTGCTCCTTTGTTGGATGATCCTTATGAAAATGGCCTTGACCTTTCCAAATCAAAACCTGATGTACCAATTGCTGCCAGTTTCAACAGCAACAATGCAGACAGTGCCCATGAACGGGATGTAGATCAAAAGCATGTCAACACAACAGTTGAGGATCAAAATGAAAGTTTCAATGATGGGCCTGGAGCTGTATTAGTCAATTTGTTAACCAGCTTAAGGCATTTACCACCTGCAATGCATGCGGTGCTTATTGTTATGGCTCTTAGTTGGGTATGTGCTTAAGTAATTATGCTCTATCTTTTGCTTAACAGATGTTCATTTATAGTATATCAATTATAATAGGGTAAAATATTTCCTGGACCCCCTGAGTCTGCCATAGTATCCTCACCCACTGCTGTTAGTGATTCCAGGGGTCTAGATTATAATTATTCTAAAATTTCTAAATCCTCATGGGTTGAGTTTGATATTTAGAATAAACCACAAGAGGTGTTTATGTTATTGTGATTTCAACATTACTAATCCGCAGGTGATCTAGCTAATTATTTATCCACAATGATGATGTCTCAGTGTGATGGTTACTGTTTAAGTTCTCTCATTTTCCTTTTTTTTTTTTTTTAAAATAAAAAATAAATAATAATAATTGTCCCTTTCTCTTCCTCATTTTGATCTTGTTTATATATGTAGTTGTCCTGGTTCCCCTTCTTTCTTTTCGATACAGATTGGATGGGGAGAGAGGTTTATCATGGGGATCCAAAAGGAAATTCTTCTGANAATTTTACCCCTAAAAAAATACTAAAAACCTCCTATAAAATTTCGTTTTACCCCCAAAATATTAAAAAATTGAGGGGGGAAAATGAAATTATCCAAGCCCATGGGACCGGTCCTGGGCCCACGGGACCAGTCCCGACCAGGCCTAGGGCCTGGTCCAGGTCTTGGATTTTCTCATGGGCCTGGGACCGGTCCCAGGCCCATGAGTGACTGGTCCCATTTGGGACCAGTCCCAAACGGGCCCAAGCCTGGGCCCGCAAGGGACCGGTCCCTTGCCCACCTCTATTACGAAGTAAAATTTAAAAATTTATTGAAAAATCCTCTAAGTTTTCTAATTTAATAAATACCCCAATATATACAAATATGTAAAATAACAAAAAGACCCCCACCACCCGCAGTGTCAGATTCCGGCCACCACTGTCAGAATCTAACCGGAAAATTACGTAACGACACATACCGGCCGAATCTCGCTGTTGCTATGACCTTTTCTAACCAGATCCACCACGGATCTAGCCGAAAAAGACAGATCTACGGCCATATGTGGTCATCGACGGCCGGAAAAGGCCAAAGAAGGCTATCTTTGGCCATTGTTGTCTGTCAACGATGGCCAAGATTTGGCCGTCGTTGACGGTCAACGATGGCCAAGATTTGGCCGTCGTTGACGGTCAATGACGGCCATTTCTTTGGCCGTCACTAACGGCTAGATCGGTGAATTACTGGCTAGTTTTGATAAGTAATTTACCTTTGTGATAGATTTTGGCTACCACCGACGGTGGTTGTTAGAATCTGGTAAGTATAGGTCACGAGGGTATTTTTATTAATTTTTAAACTTTTTTAGGGAGTATTTAATAAAATTAATAATCTTATAGGGTCTAAAAATAATTAAAAAAATAAGCTAATATTTATGAAATAATACATTATTTGAAGAATAGGATTAGAAATAATAATAAGCTAAACGCACCCAATATCTTTGAGTCAATTTACGTGGATGTTACTTCATGTCTGCTATGTAAAAATTTTAAATTTTAAATCAAATTAAGTTATGACTTATGATCATCGTTGGACCCACGATGGTCCAGATGTAAGGCAATGGTTCACTACAGCATGACACATAATGCAGTTGCAACGTATACAACTGACTAAAATCCCGAGTCCTTCATCAGTTTACTGCTCACCCGCCCAAATTTGATGTCGTTCACTCATTTATTCTCTAATTCTCTACCCTACAAAGTACAAATACAATCAAATCTGTAATCAATAATAACATTTTATTTTATGTCAATTAACTTTAATGGAAAACAACTGAGTTGGCGAGACAGAAAGAGTAATGGCGGACGGTGTCGTTCAAGGTTCCATACAGGAACCTTAAGAAGGAGGCAGAAGTGGAGATGGTTGGAGCCGATGAGAGTTCATCTCGTCCGATCGACTTGAATTCTAATCCATCTTCTCATGTAACGATTTCAAACGGAAACTCCAATTTTGTGTCAGATCCAAACAGTGTAGCTTGTTACTCTTCTGAGTTGTAGTTGCCGCGGTGTTCAGTTCGGTTGGGCCTGCAGCTTTCTTTATTAACCCCTACATTCAGGTCTTCTCTCCATCTTTTGGATCTGCCGCTGTATTGCTTTTGTTTTTTGTTGGTCTATTTAGATTCTTCTCGATTTCGTCCAATTATTTTGATTGTTATTACAGATTTTATGCTGTATCGACCATTGAATTATTTCATTGCCTTGCATGTACCAAATTAATTAGACTGTAGTCATGAAAGACGAAAGCTTACCTTGATGTATGTTGCTTTACGTTTAGATTGTGTGGAAGGAGTTTTTCTGTTTAGAAAGTTAGAAATTGGCATCTCAAATTTCGAAACTAGAATTTCATGCTGCTGAAGGCACTTTTCTGAAATTGCTACTGATGAAAGAATTTCCGCAGAGATACTATTGCTGGAATATGAATTACTCTAACATAAGTGGCCGCTTTATGATGCTAAAGATGCTGAAAATTTTGATTTCATGGTAAGGAGAAAAAATGCCAAAAAGCTTGGAAGAAAATATCCAATATAATTCCATTCTTCGAGAATAAACCGTGGAGACATGAGAGAAGCGTTTGAAATTCTTATTATGTGAATTCAATATTGAACAATAAATGGCAACTAGAGGGTGAACATGGCTGGTCACTTTTATTATCATTTGAAATAAGTGCTTGTTTGTTCTACATACGTAGTCTTGTTCCTGTATGACATAAAACCGTTTGCTGTTGTTTCTCTTATTGACTCCTTTTTAACCTTTCGTTTCCAGAGTAAAGGTATCATTATGAAAAAAAGGGTGAAGGAGTGTAGACATTTGCTGTTTTTTATTACTTTTAAGAGTGTAAAGATGTCTAGTGGGCAAGGAAAGGAATGATGATTATGAAAGTTAGTGAACTAAATTGATACATTATTATCTTCATTTTTTGCTGTTTTAATCTAGCTTATCTGAATCAGTTTTGATGCTTATTTAGATTATGTTTTGGTGTGTACAGCTTTCTTCTTGCTTAACTATTCTCCTTATTGCTGATTGATACAGACACTTGGGATAGAGCACGCCTTTTCTCATTCATTTGGCTCTGTGGCCGATTACGGCCTGTGGTAGGTCCTGGCTATCATTTTAACTTCATTCCATTTAATCCTTTTATCTTCCCCCAATTGTTTACTATGTATCCAGACTATTTAAGGAGAGAGTTTACTGATTACAGTTTGCTACTGGATGCCTTGTGCATTAACCCTATCATCTAGTTTGAACACATTATATTGGAATTCAGTTGGGCCAGAACATGATATGATTTTATACCAGTTTGAATGAATAAAATTCTTTCTCACTGCTACTGGTTCATGTCTGAACTGAATATATGAACTTTCAGTTGGTAGTGGCTGAGCTACATGTATCTCAGGCTGCCCACCACCACACACCAAATGTTGGGGGTGCTTCTCCACATATCCATAGTTGTGGTGATTTTGGCCTTGGTTGTTTTGTACATACAGTTCTTTTGGCTCCTATTGTTCATTTGTCTCCTCTCCTTCTTCTGATTAAGTTAATTAAGTTATAAAATTGAAATGTTATCGTTGTATCTTACTGGGGAATTGTAGTCTTAACAAAATGAATTGGTTTGATAAAAGGCACTTTTTTATCTGGTGCCTTGTTGTTTAAGTTTTGGATCATGGCCAGTGTTATTGGTCCTGGTTGGAGTGTCTCCTGCTGCCTGCTTTTGTCTTATTTGACTTGCAAATGTGATGGTGCAGTATTCCTGTATATTGCTCTATTGAAATAAACAAGAAAATTGTGCATGTCTCCTGCCAGTTATATCTTTGATTTAAATTTGGTTCTGTCTGAGTTATTTTTTTCCATATTTAGGTTCAACCTTGTGTTGGGATTTGGAGTGATAAATGCACTTCAAAGTATGGAAGGAGGCGGCCATTTATTCTTGCAGGATCTCTCATGATTTCAGTTGCTGTAAGCATTGACGAAATTCACATTTTTATTTTGTATATTAGATATGCTATCCTGTATTTTATATCAGCTAAACGAAGTCTTGGAATTTAGGTGATAATAATCGGGTTTTCTGCAGACATTGGTTATGTATTGGGTGATACAAAGGAGGATTGCAGGTTCCATTCTTATTTGATTCCTTGTCATTTATTCCATGAATATTAATCTAAATTCAAAGTGACTGTCATCCATGCAAATGCCGAGTATTCAAAGGAACTCGAACAAGAGCTGCCTTTGTATTTGTATGGGTTTGGATGCTGGATTGCTAACAATACGTGCAGGTAAACTTGCTTTGTAGTTGCTCTTCCTTGTTATTCGTTTCTGCATGAAAATGAATTTAATAAGCTGCCATCTATATGCTGAACAACAATGGCACTTTTATTTCTTCTGTAGGGACCAGCTCGTGCGCTTTTGGCTGATCTATCAGGTGAATTTTTCTACTCATTATGTTAAAGTAGTAAGTTGTGGCTTCTAAATGTTTAGGATTTTATCTAGAAGATTTGCTGTTACTATTCTTTTGGAAAATGATGTGCCAGTTTGTTGTTGGAAATCATATCATGCCTTAGGTCCTGATCAACGCAATTCAGCTAATGTATATTCTGCTCATGGATGGCTGTTGGAAACATCTTAGGATTTTGCTGGTGCAAGTGGAGATTGGCAAGGTGAAACTTTTTGGAAACAATTTCTGGGTTAAGTAACATATCTGTGGACGAGCCTGCATGCATCTTCTTGGTGCTTAATTCTTTTGCATTCACATAGATGCTCAGTTCATAATTTAAAAACTTGTTTCTCATTTAATTTCTGAACCCTAAAGAAAAGTGATGTTTGGTTGATAATCTACTCAACAATTTCTTGAGCAGTGGTTTCCTTTCCTAAGAGTAGAGCTTGTTGTGCGGCTTGCGGAAATCTCAAAGAGCATTTATTGTGGCAGTGGTGAGTAGTATATGCATAGAAGTTCTGTATTTTGCATGGCCATTCAAGTTTCTATGGTAAAATTCTTTACTGCATTTTCTTTCGCATTTAATGTGCTTCATTAGCTTGTGATAGATTTTCATTATTTGACATGTAATGCTCTATACAATCTATTTGAAGACTGGGATGATTAAAGTAAAGTAGGTTTTGCTGGAAATCGTTTAAACTTAAAATTGAACCCTGATCTAGGTGTTTTGTTTAAAATGACCATTGAGAATTGTCAGCTTTTATACTGTCTTGTATTTTAGTATTAAACTTCTTGGTGATTGTTCATAGTGATGAGACTATTGAGCATTGTCAAGATTTATACAGTGTCTCAAATTAGCTATTAAAACCGCCTGTAGTGTAATTTTATATTGCTCAGACTGATGAGAGAATATGCCGATTCTTTTATTGACACAGTGGAATTGATATGTTGTAGATAAACATTCTTGGAGATAATTTGAATTTAAAATGATAAATTCGTGGACTCTGAGAAATAATCATGAAAGCATGAGACAATGTAGAACCAATGATGAAAATATTACAAGTACTTTTTTGAATTGCTTTAGAAAGTCTGAATAACGTGCAGTAAAACAAACCTATTTATAGACCATTCTAATATGACTACAATAAGGCAAGGTATAAATATCTTGATAAAACATGAAAACAATACGACCAAATAAGTAAAGTAAACAAACTAAAATAGAGTTACTAATCAAAATAGAAAGCCAACTTAAACAAGGAAAAAATATTGATATGATAGAAACTGTCCTACACAATTTAGTGTCTTAGCTAGTAGTATAGGACAATAAGGTGCTTGGTCTTATATTCATTCGTTCATAATTCATGTGGTTCTGCATATATTGCTGATGTCTGATCAGGCTCGGTTGATGAAAAAATAAACTTTGTATATATAGCATGTTTCTGATTTTTTCAGACATCTTTTATTTCTTTTGAGTTGGTTTTATCTTCATTTTTCTGTTGAATGAGAAATCACATTAGTGTTGTTGTATGGGTTTTGTATCTATGCACAGATATGATAGTATTTTCAAGTATGTCTGGTGTGAGTGCGTATTGGTTTCATTTGCATTTTGTGTTTTTTCAATCAGTCTAAAATTTGCTGTGCTGTCGCAGGTCTTCCTGACTCTATGTACTGTTGTGACTATATATTTTGCTGATGAGGTTCCACTGTAAATCAGCCCAATCATTATCAGATTCTGCTCCTTTGTTGGAGATCCTTATGAAAAGGCCTTGACCTTTCCAAATCAAAACCTGATGTACCAATTGCTGCCAGTTTCAACAGCAACAATGCAGACAGTGCCCATGAACGGGTGTAGATCAAAAGCATGTCAACAACACGTTGAGGATCAAAATAAAGTTTCAATGAGGGCCTGGAGCTGTAAGTCAATTTGTTAACCAGCTTAAGGCATTTCACACCTGCAATGCATGCGGTGCTTATTGTTATGGCTCTTAGTTGGGTATGTGCTTAAGTAATTGCTCTATTTTTGCAACAGATGTTCATTATAGTATATCAATATAATAGGGTAAAATATTTCCTAGACCCCCTGAGTCTGCCATAGGATCCTCACCCACTGCTGTTAGTGATTCCAGGGGTCTAGATTATAATTATTCTAAAATTTCTAAGTCCTCATGGGTTGAGTTTGATATTTAGAATAAACCACAAGGGTGTTATGTTATTGATTTCAACATACTAATCCGCAGGTGGATCTAGCTAATTATTTATCCACAATGATGATGTCTCAGTGTGATGGTTACTGTTTAAGTTCTTCATTTTCCTTTTTTTTTTTTTAAATAAAAAATAAATAATAATAATTTTCCCTTTCTCTTTTCATTTTGATCTTGTTATAATGTAGTTGTCCTGGTTCCCCTTCTTTCTTTTCGATACAGATTGGATGGGGAGAGAGGTTTATCATGGGGATCCAAAAGGAAATTCTTGAGTGAAGTATATGAAAGATCAGAGGTTGTCAGAGAAGGTGCATTTGGTTTGCTATTGAATTCTGTAAGAACTCAAAATTTATCACCAGCAATTTGACTTTTCCTAAATAATGTCATATTAATATCGAATTATTTGAGTAATTTAAGGCTGAAGGTAGTTAGATGATGTAAACTGTTTTCTTTCCGCTTACAAACATTTGTTAATCTATAGTTCCTTTTTTTTTTTTTCATAGGTTGTTCTTGGAATCAGTTCTTTCCTTATTCAACCTATGTGTCAGCGACTGGGTGCAAGGGTTGTCTGGGCAATGAGCAATTTCATAGTGTTTGCTTGCATGGCAGGCACAGCTATCATTAGCTTGATATCTGTCAGGGAATACTCGGAAGGGATTGAGCATGTAATTGGAGGCAGTGGATCAATCAAAATAGCTTCCTTGGTTTTATTTGCTCTTCTTGGTTTTCCCCTTGCTGTATGTATCAGTCTTCTTAGCCTGTCTCTGTTAGCAGACATTCTCCTTTCCGGCACTTAATCATTTTGTCTTGCAGATTACCTATAGTGTTCCCTTTTCTGTTACTGCACAGTTGACTGCTGATTCTGGTGGTGGGCAAGGTTTGTATGACATTGTTTGTATCTAGTATCTCTTCTGCTTGATATTGTTGCCATATTTTGCAACTTATACCTTCAAACTCAAATGGTTGAGCAGGATTGGCAATAGGAGTTCTCAATCTTGCAATTGTTGTACCGCAGGTAAGTGAATATATTCTGTCTTTCTATTCTGGTTCCAAGGCTGTAGTTTCTTGCTGTTTGGCATATCAGAATTTAGATATTTCTTTAGATCAATGGTCCGATTAACATTTTGCTCTGTGGTAATAATTTAGTTAGATAGTTATTTTTCTGTAGCAACATACTCTCTTTTCAATAACAATAAAAAATTAAATGAGAAGAAGGTTTTTTTTGACAATTTATTTTAATCTTTGGGGGTAAGTTTCTGTATTTTTGGAATAAGCTACTCCTATGTTCCAATATATCATATGATCATTTTACTGTCTTAAACGACTTTTTCCCACCCAAATAATGGCTTAATGACACTTTCCTATCCACAGACTTTTAAAATACTACTTTATTACCTAAATTTATATTCTGTTTTCAATTCCGACATCTTTGCGACCCCACACTACCACCATTCTCTTTCCGGATCATCACTCACCAAAACCCCTCAAACCTTACTCCTACCGATCCTGTCAATCACAGGCAATTGAGTGATTAGAGTTTGCGCAATTACCTCTCCCAAGTCAAATTCCGATCAATCCCAACCGCTAAAATCCAACCTTATACCACTAAAAGACTCATCGGCCTCCCCTGTTCAAAAACTCTAATAACCTAGACCAAGTTTGCTCTCTATTCGCAAATAGAATATAAATTTGGGTAGTAAAAAGTCTATGGGTGAGAAAGTGTCATTAAACCATTATTTAGGTGGGAAAAAGTCATTAACTCTATTACTGAACCACCTATCACCAGCATACTGAAAAGGTTAAATTTGTCTCTTTTTATAGTTCATTAATACTTTTGCCTTTCTGTTAATCAATAAAAACTGATTTCACATATATTGTTGGTATTTTAGATGGTTGTATCACTTGGAGCGGGTCCATGGGATGCTCTTTTTGGTGGAGGAAATATACCTGCCTTTGTTTTGGCATCCTTGTCTGCCCTTGCTGCTGGTGTTGTCGCAACTCTCAAGCTTCCAAAACTTTCAACAAGTTCTTTTGAGTCATCTGGTTTTCATATTGGTTAATGACTATACTGTCTTCAATGAAGAGGCATCCAGTCTGTATATGATTATCAGAAACCACAAACGCACTGGTCAATGATTTTCATTCAGGATCCATTAGTGATCTCATAGCGGATAATCAGCATCATTCTTTCTCACTTGTTACCTGCTGGAAATCAATGGCTCTACTTATGAGTATGTACAATTTTCACATAGAAAGAGTGATGGGTTATATATTCAAATTCATTATTTTTTTTGCCCCATTTGTGGGCACCTGTACCTTATGTAGAGTGTAAATGATCACACTTATATTGAAAAGCTCTCACATGCATATCATAATCATATTATAAAAAGATCTGAATATATTAACTTTATGTTCTGCCGTCTTCTCTTTGGTTGCTCTTCTCATTTATGTGACATTTTGGATTTTTCATATCATGCAATTGTATTATATTATAACTTGTATGGTGTGGATGATTTTGATGATGTTCACCTTGTTTAGCTACCTGCCTAAGCTCTATATATTTCTATAATTTTATCAAAATATGTATTCATTTGTAAACTGAGAAAGATTTCCTTAAAAAGTGGCTAATTAAGTTGAGGATGCTTAAGCATCTTGGTTTGGACTTTCTGCTTGGATTACATATAAACATAATATTATCTTAAAAAGCATTGCACTGCACTACTGCAGTACAGTTGGAGTTTTTGGGGTCTTACCAGGTGCAAAGTGATTGGTGATGGCATTAGGCCTAGTGGCTAAACATCATCTTCCACAGTATTAATTGAACAGTGGTGGGAGTACTAGTTTGTTGGACTAGGGTAAAAGCCTAAAGCATGCAACATGAATGGTGGGCTTCGCTTTGTTAGCTCTGCACTTTCATTTGGGAACCTAAGCATCAAATGAAGAGTGACTGGGTCGGGTGGGTTAGAATAGATTGTCTTATCATGAATAACCTTTCAACACCAGTCTTTATTTATTTATTTTAAAATAGCGGTTTCTTTGCCACACGTTTTACATGAAACTAAGCCAAATGCTGCTTTACCCGGGCTGAAGTTTAGGGGAGGATTCAAATCAAATGGTAAATTCAACCGCACTGTAGTGTTATTCAACTTTTTATTATTAAAATAACTTGTGTAGTGAGATAAGTATACATGTATAGGGTAAGATTCTTTGTTCTATTTCAATCAAATACAGTAATTGTGAACTTAATTTGTCACTTGTTGCGTTGATACTTATGTTAACAGTTTATTTTTAGGAAATATCAATAAGATTAGCCAACAATGGACTGGGTTAAAAAAAATTAACCACCTTTTCAAACTCTAAACTTAATTAACCACCGAATGTGTTAATTTTCTTAAAATACCCTCGCATATAACCCAAACTTTCTCAGTTTCTTTCGGTTTCTCTCCTTTGATTTTCTCTTCTTCTTTTATGTTTTTTTATGAGTTCAAATGCAACAGTCAATTTAACCTTAATTTCTATGAATATGTCATTTGTTAACACAGAGCAAACATGTAACGCCCACATCAAGGTATGTAGTTTTATTTATACCCTAATACCCTTAGTTGAATTTTGTTAAAGTTATCTTGAACAAGTGTAAAGAAAATTTCGTAAAATTTCATTAGGGGTAAAATGGTCTTTTCACTCATAATTAGTTGAAAAAAGTGGGGAGTGAAAAGAAGTAGAATAACATGGAGAAGTTAATAAAAATGAGGGCATTATGGTAATTGACTAAGAGACATAGATGAAATTTCATAGAAAGTGCAAGGGTAAAATGGGAAACTATAAATAATATTTTGTTATATCAAGAGTTGAAGAATGAAACCCTAGCAATTTCTTCTCCTCCATTCACGCCACCTTCCACCCAAGCTCTCTCAAATTTCTTCAATCCTTTTTCAAGGAAATTCATAGATCTTGGTTTATTTTTAGTGGAATTTCAATTCCAAGCATCCTTAGGTAAGATCTTTGCACTAAGATATGAGATTTAATTTTTAAAGTGTTAAATTCTTATGATTTGTGTTCATAGGATTTAAGAAAAAGAGAGTTGGATCAAGGAAGACTACTAAAGTGTTGGATTGCTCATATCTAAGGTAAGTAAATCCAACCCTAGTCATGCTTGGAGTAATATTGTGTAGAGAATTTCTTTTATGCATATATGTGCTTATATATGAAAAATTGTTGATGGAATGGATGTTGAATGATGGTTAGAGTTTATCTATGAGAAGTAGTGTTTGTGTACTTGATGTTTGATGAGAGTTTGGATGAATTATAGAAGAATTGGTGTAGAATTTATGAAGTGTGAATCCTGGACAGATTTGACGTTAATCTTGGTGTGTTTTATTCCAAATTTTGGTGGCTTAGAAGAGAGGTGGAAATGTAGCCAAATTAGAGTTGATGTATGCATACAAATTGTTTGATGAAATATCAAAGAGAAGTGCATGTATGAGTATGATTATTTGTTATCTTGAGATGAGTTTGTAGATGGTAAAGAATGACATGTTTACATTCCATAGTGCATTATTGCATCCAAACATGTGAATTTAGAAAGAATAATAAGCATGAGACCATCTACATGCATACATACTCATAAGAGCATTAAAGAGCAATAATGAACATTAAAGTTAAAGAACAAATAAAAAGAAATGAGAAATATTAAAGAATTTCAAATCTGAATTTTTATTTAAAGAAGTGTAAAAAGATAAAAGAAGAGAATGTTGTTTCGATGGGGAACCTGTGAGTGACATAGCCCCGCATACACGCCGCCTTTAGTGAGCGGCTTTAGAATCAGAAAAAAGAATTGTACAGTCTGTTAAAAGTGCATGTAGATGAAGACTGTACCCAGAATTAGAGAATACACTCACACGGCCAAGGTTCCAAATCCATGCCTCAACCGAGTCCGATCAGCAAGAAAGAAAGAAAAGAAAAGAAAGAATAGAAAGCAAAGAAAGAAAGAATAGAAAAGAAAAGAAAGAAAGACTAGAAAAGAAAAGAAAAGGAAGCATAGAAAGAAATACAAAGAAAAGAAACAGAAAACATAATAAGAAAATAAAAAAACAAAAAAACAGAAAAGAAAATGCACATTTTATGCATTTGTGTATTTGCATTATACCTATGCATGATACCATGCCTACTACCATGAGTAGTGAGAAATTAGAAATTAAGAAAAAACAAAAAAAAGAACAAAGAAAGAATAGAGAGAGAACAGAGAAGAATAGAGAAGTGTGATGTAAGGAAAGAAATTCAGAATATAAGCAACAGAGAGAGAAGAGTAGCATAGCAGGTTTACTTACTAAGCAATTAGTGCTCATCCCATTGTTTTCAATGTTTTTGCAGGTAATAGGTGAGATGTGGTCGCTTGGAACGTTAAGAAGCGGAAGGGTTTGGAAACACTGTCGAGTTGATGTTTTGTGACTTTATTACATTATGTAAAGATTTGTATATAAAGAAAAATTAGTTATGGGCCCATTATTTTATACTCATCTACATGTATATTTTCTTATATATATTTAGTGAGTTTTACTGTTATTTTACGAGTATACTAGCTAGAGAGAGAAAGTATTACAAAACAAGAGTCTTTTCTGTAGAAGATTTTTGTAACTAACTAATTATATAGTTAATAGGCGGTTTTGGTTTACACTTTATAATGCAGAAAATAAAAAATAATAATTAAAAACAAGTAATTTAAATATAAGATCGAATAAATATAAGACAACTAGATTGAAAGGCTATTCGCCACCACCAGACATGCAACGCAAATTAATAAAACCACTTCCTTAACTTCCTATCCTCTTGACTATATAAACTCAAAAAAATATCACAAGCTCGACGAATTCGAATGCTCCTTACTTTGTCGTTGGATTAAACAAGCTTTTAACCCAATTCCATATCTATTAAACAACCTAGAATAAGCTCTCTAGATTTAATTTAATACAAGCATTAAAAAGTGAGAAACATATTAAATCAAGGTTAAACTCATAAGCTTGGTTTAGTTATCTTGAGTGTTTACTCCCATTGCAAGCAAGCATCAACCAATTTACCACTAGTTATCCAGATTAATTAAGCTATGTACTTAACAATCCAAATTGGTAAATAGATAGATTAACTCAATCATTCAATTGTGCACTTAAATAATCAAGAGAACTCACTAAGGCATTAATCACAGAAAATTAACACATAATTAAGAGAAATAGGAAGAAAGAAACTTGAGGTTTTATTAATTATAGTAAAACATGTCTAAGGCTTTGAAATCACTCCCAATCACAAGAAAATTAGTTCTCAATAGAAAACAAAAAACCAATAATAGTATTCATGAGAACAACTAATAAAAGTGAGTAGAGAATCTTAGGTGAATCTGGTTGTTCTATGATGTTGCTTTAGACTTCCTCCAATATCCCTCTCCAAGCTATTCTTTACATCTCTAATTCCTTGATATTTGATTCGATGATCTTTTAGATTGCTAAGCAAGTCTATTTATAGTGCCAGGCTTCTAAGGGTATTGTTAGACAAATCCTATGTGAATTAGAATAAGAAAATACAATTCTAGGCGAATTAGAATAAGAGACTCCTAATGAAATTCAGACTGCTTCCACACAGGCCGCAGTGCCAATTTTTCTCTGCCGCGATGCCTTATGATCTCCAAAATTGAGCATGAAAACTCCCGAATTTGGCAAAGTCATGAAAATATTAATTGTAGCCCTTCAAGTCAGCTTTCAAATACTTTAAGAATCATCCAAATCCGAGGTCTACAACTCATGTTATTTTAAAAATACTAAAGCATGTTCTAGAACCCGTGATTTATACTCAAATCTTCTTTCAAAACCCGAGAACACCATATCTCAACGCCACTTTTTCCATGCCGCGACACCACTTAAGCTTGAAAAAACCCTAGAACCAATGATACTTAAAATTCTATAACTTTCTCTTTTCAACTTTGATTCTCAAACCGTTTGTTCCTAGTGGTCACAAATTTCCTTGCCAACATTATTATTCATTCAAATCTTATTTTTTTTTTTAAATATTTATGACCTGAAAATACACCAAATATACATGTGATTATAAAAAACACATTTATGAAACAATTAAGCAAAATTACACAAATTAAACCTAATTTCCCACAAATGATACCAATAAATCACTAAGTATAAGTGTATTTCCAAGCATTTATCACAACCCCCAACTAGCTTACTTCTAGTCCCTAGCAATCTAAGTGATCTAAAGATGTCCTTGAAATTGAGAATCCAAAACAAAATAAAATCTACTCCTAAGCTAACCTATATCACTTCTGTAGATTATCATGGTTGCATTTAGCATATGCAACATTCCTTTTAAACCCTTAGTCTTCCTTAGTTGGACAAGTTATAGTCTCTTGAGGGTTTTCAGTAATAACAACC